GACAGGAGCTGATGCAGAAGCCATGGGGGGGGGGGGAACTGCTTACTGAATTGCTTCCCATAGCTTGTTCAGTCTACCTTCATATAAAGCTCAAGACCAACAGCTTAGGGATGGCAACACCCACCATGGGCTGTACCTTCCCCCATTGATTATTAAATGAGAAAATGCCTTACAGTCATGGAAGCATTTCCCAGCCGAGGCTCCTCTCTCTGATGACTCTAGATTTGTCAATGTGACCCACAAAACCACCCAGTCCACTGTCCTGACTTCCTTTGATGCTGAACAGGAATATGAAAGTGTAAGCAGAATAAACCCTTTTCTCCCCCTTGCTTTTTGGTCGTGGTGTTTCATTGCAGCAGTAGAAACCCTGACTAAGACAGTCCATAAACTTAAAGGAGCGGGGTTGTGATCTAGATGTCCTACTGTAGCTAAGCTCTCCACGGACAATTATTCTCTAAACTCTGAGCACTGGTGAGTGTCTGAGCTAACCATGGTCCACTGTATAAAGAAACTTCTGGGAGCTGCACTAATCTATGAACTTCAAGATACAAATTTAGAGAGCAGATTGATACAATTGTCCTCTTAGCAAAATCATTGTAGTAGGCTCACCCTCAGAGCCTACAAACTCTCCAATCACAGATTCTGGCCTCAGATACAGCAGCAGCCATGCAGTTCCTCCAGTGGAGCAGGCCTTAAATTCAATCAGAATGTGATGACGTTATTGCCACTACGGCACCCATGGGTGCATCTTGCCATATCGGTCATTGTAGCTCACAGAATTCTAAGCTGGGTCAGATGTTGGTGGCTCACCCCACCTGCAGCCTGCATTGTATCTGTGGTACTATGAATGTTGGCCAGCGGGCAAGGAGCCTTAGCCTCCAGAGCCTGAGGATTAAAGACATGCATCACTATACTTGGCTTTCCATTGCAGTTTTTAAGAATTCATTTACATGCTGGGCGGTGGTGGCGCACACCTTTAATTGCAGCACTCGGGAGGCAGAGGCAGGTGGATCTCTGTGAGTTCAGGACAGCCTGATCTGCAGAGCTAGTTCCAGAACAGGCTCCAAAGCTACAGAGAAAGCCTGTCTTGAAAAACCAAAAAAAAAAAAAAAAAAAATTACTTACAGTGTATATTATGAAAGTATCAACAAAGAACACTTTGAAAATTGAACACACAAAAGTGACACACACAAAGCCTGGTTCTTGCCCAGAGTTTGGGAAACATGGTTCTCAAGATTTGAAGACTTGTTTCAAACTTTTTCCACTTTCAACCCCCTTTTTCACCAAGAAATTTTTATGCAATTCTGAGTGTGTGTGTGTGTCTGTGTGTGTGTGCGTGGGGGGGTGATAACTACAGAATCAAGCATTTACTTATAATAAACAACAAACTTTTTTAAAAGCAATTCTTTGTGCATGTGTGATTTTACCATTCATTAAAGATGAAAGAGAATTTGTATACTAGTGACTTGGTTGTATTTATAATTATCAATGTGGAGAATATCAACACATAAATATACAGTACAAATTAGCAAAAGTATATTAGGGACATTTCAGAAATTGTTGGAAAGTCTATCCTAATAGCAAACCAAATTTTATTTAATAATGTTTTAATGATATGCAAGCCAAGAATGAAAAGTTTTAAAAAATAAAATATCTAATGCAACTAAATACAAAGTTATATGAGTTTGATACATGCTGACGAATGATGGTAGAAAAATATTAAACGTGTTTTGTGTGGTGTACTGGTACACACTTCTAATTCCAGCACTTGGGAAGCAGAGGCAGGTATATCTCAGGGAGAGCCTAGCTAGCCAGGACTGCACAGTGAGTTCCAGGACAACTATCATTAAATAGTGAGACCCTGACTTGAAAAAAAAAAAAAAAAAAAAAAGTAAGAGCTCCAGGAGTCCAGTCAAAGAGAGGGAGGAGGGATTATATGAGCAAGAGGGGTCAAGATCATGACAGGAAATCTACAGAGACAGCTGAACCAAGCTCATGGGAAACCACAAACCCTCAACCAACAGCTGTGGAGCCTGCATGGGACTGAACCAGGCCCTCTGCAATGCGGTGACAGTTGTGTAGCTTGGTGTGTTTGGGGAGCCCCTGGCAGTGGGACCAGATCTATCCCAGGTGCATGAGCTGACTTTTTGGAGCCTGTTCCCTGTGGTGGGATGCCTTGCTCAGCCTTGATGCAGGGAGGAGGGGCTTGGCCCTGCCTCAAATTAATGTGCCAGACTTTGTTGATTCTCCATGGGAGGCCTTACCATTTCTGAGGAGTGGATGGGGGGTGGATTGGGGGAAGACAGGGCAGGTGGCGGAG